GCTAAACCATGTCCTCAAGTGCCACATCTACATGATTTTTGAACCCCTCCAGGGATGGTGACTCCACCACTGCCCTGGGCAGCCTGTTCCAATGCGTGACCACTCTTTCAGTAAAGACACTTTTCCTAATATGCAATCTGAACCTCCCCTGATTCAACTTGAGGCCATTTCAGGGGAGTCTTGGAGCTTTGAGTCTGGGGACAGAAGCCTGAGATTTAAGCCAGAAAACAGAGTTAAGGGCATCAGCATTCAGAAAGAATGGGAAATATGGGGACCTAATAGAGAATGGAAACCAGGAGAAAAAGTGATACAATTTGGTGTGGCTGTAATGACCTCTTGCCAAGGATCTTGACAGCATTGCCATCCTAAATTAACAGAGACGAAGTCGAAGCACAGAGAAATCATTTGAACTATGGAGGTCTAAGTTTACAAGAGATCATAACCAGAGGTGCCTGGGGGTCACATGTGTTGAGAACAGTTGGCCTGGGGCCAAAGGTCAGAGAGTCGCGGCACCTCCGTGTCTTCACAGACACAAAGTTGGTGTAAGACTCTTTGGAAATCAAGGAAATTTTTAATTTGGCTTCGCTAAGAATGAGATGCCAAATGTGGATGCTGGGTGCTTCTGCCGTGAGGTGGAGAGACCCAAGGCAGGAGCTGGGCCAGAAGGCTGTCCCACAGAGACAGGTGTAGGGCAGTTTTTGAAGAGGAGGTATCACAGAATCACAGAATCACAGAATATTTGGGGTTAGAAGGGACCTCTGTGGGTCACCCAGCCCAACCCCCTGCCGAAGCAGGGTCACCCAGAGCAGGCTGCACAGGACCGCGTCCAGGCGGGTCTGGAATATCTCCAGAGAAGGAGACTCCACAACCTCCCTGGGCAGCCTGTTCCAGGGCTCCGTCACCCTCAGAGGGAAGAAGTTCTTCCTCCTGTTCAGCTGGAACTTCCTCTGCTTCAGTTTGTGCCCGTTGCCCCTTGTCCTGTCGCTGGGCACCACTGGAAAGAGTTTGGCCCCAGTATCAGTAACTTGCTGCCGAGAGGGGCAGCCATCCTTCCCATCACTTCAAAACCACGTCTCTGTTGTGATGGAAAGAGCCAGGCTGGCTGCTTGATCTGGGGTACAGGCATGAGGACATGGAAGCACGGTCATTCTGCTGCTGCTGTGCATTAGGCTGTGTTGTCCACGCCGGCACTAACCCTCCTCTGAAGCGGCTTGTAGCCTTGCCCTGGATTGTGCTCGCACGGCGCCGATTGCCCTCGTTCACCTCAGCTCCTGCTAAGACCAGTTTGCAGGTCAACGCTTGCCTGGAGTCGGGCACACAAAGCCAGCACACAGTCTGCCTCATGCTGTTACATCAGAAGACGAGACGACTAATAATTATTTCTCCACATCAAGTGATACCTTCTTTTACACCTATTGGTCTTACTCATCGGCATCCTGATGAAAATTCAGAACTGACTACTAGTCAATCCTGATATTAGTCCCTAATTCCCTCTCGCAGCCTCCCTCCTTTCCATATTTCCTCCCACTAATTATAGCTTGTATTTCCTTCCCAGCAGAACCTCACTTTCTTCCTGTCCTCCTGATTTCTGTTGGCTCTGCAGCAATATTTTTCTGCCTTCATTATCATTCATTAGCAAGTTCACATCACCTGGAGGTTTCATTACGATATTGTTTAAACGCCTCTTCTTGATCATTAATATTAAACGCAAATTCCAGCAGCGTCGCGGTACAATTCCAGACACCCCTCCCGGGACTCCTCGGTCCTTGCTCTTTGTTATTGCTTTCCCTTTACTTCATTACCCTTCAGCAGCTTTTCGGTATAGGTGATCATGTTTGCGTATCCAAGCTGCCACCTTTTCTGTTTGCATGCCAGATTACTCCGAGTGATTTGCAATCCCTGATTCCGTGGCCTGCACTTATTCTTACATGCGCAGCTTATTTTTACTTATGGGCTTTTCTGCTACTGTTGGCAATATTTTTGGATTGCGCATCTGTCTTCTAAAAATATTTGGAATCACAGTCTCTGCTGTTTTGTTGATTCAATCATTTATCATTTTTGTTTTCCTCCAGTATAAGAGATCCCAATTTTCTTCTTTCACTTGTCCGGCATTAATAAGAAATTCATCCATCAAAGCCTTTAAAGTTACACCAGTCAGAGAATTGTTGTTCCGTTGCTTTATATTTCACATTGTGTGCTTCACATCAGATTCTTAACTAGCATTGCATGTGGATTTGTATTTTCACCGTTCTTTGTGTGTGTGTGAGTGTGTGTTTAACTCCTTGTGATCTTTCTGTTTTCAAAGTTCCATACTTCTCTGAAAAACAAAGCAAAACCTGGTGTGTGTAATGCCTGAGCCTACTGCTTTGAAAAAGGAATGTTATTTCCAACAGGAAAAGCTACGTGCCAGTGTGTGGTTCCAGAGTATAAAGTATATCTCCTGCCCTACTGAGATTCCACGGATTACCTCTGAGGTCCTATGCAGGAAGGGCACTATCTTTTTTTCTGGACAGATGTAGCTTAAAGTTTAGGTAGTGCAAAACAACCTCAGACAGTTTTTCCAACGAGAATAAAACACACTGTCAGCAAAAAGGAGAAAAAAGGGTCGTTTCGTGGTGGTATATGGACAAGCTTGGTTAAGGATGGCAGAAGTTTTTGAGACATATGGTTACAAAGCCCCAAGGCACCTATTCAGCAAGGTATGTAAACATTCACCTAACTAAACAGGTGAGTGGTCTGACTGAAGTCAAAAGCACTGCTGCTATGCTTAAAGTTAAGCAAATGCTTTAATATCTTGCTAAACTGAAGCCTACAAACCACTAATTTTAATCTTGCCAAAGACTTCTGCAAATTCTGACTCAGGGCATTCAGAACGAAACACCTTTTGTTAAGAATGGTTAGCTTGAGGATATCCAGGAGGAACACGGACAGAAAGAGGAATTCCTCTTACAGTTTCGCAGCATGCTGATTTAGCTGGCGTTCCTATTTATTTGCATTGGAGCTCTGTGCAGGTAGCGGGGGTTAGACTGCAATGCGGAGGATGGCATGGTAATGTACTTTTATTGACTAACAGGCATCGAACGCATGCAGATAATGCACCCTGAACTTGCTGGGTGCTCATAGGCCTGCTCCTCTGGGATTCTGTCACTAAAAAGCAGCAAAAACAAGCTAGCAACCTGCTGACTCATGAGGACTGATTTTATTTGGCGTGCTTTAAAATGTGTTCTCTCTTCTAGGAAAGATAAAACGGGGCAGATCCAGTTTGCTCCACTGACCTGAATGATTAGTGGGAATATTTCTGGGAGTTTTGTGAGCTAAGAAGATTTATATGATGGGGTGTAAGAATCACACTGAGCACTGTGGCGACTGGGAAAGGTTTTCACTTAAATGACTTCTTGTAGGAAGTGCAGATGTGTGTATCCCCACAGAAGCTCACCAATGTCCACAACATCTGAGATGGAAGAAGCAGCCTTATCAGATTCCTTGTTTCATTCCGATAATGTTAAATCCTTTCCCTTCTCTAGGATGGAAGTGTATAAAAACCCATACACTGAATCCTGTGTGTCAGCCGTTAGCTTTGCCTCTGTTTGTAGGAAGGCCGTTTCCCAAAGCAGGGGCCTGTCTGGGCCCAATGGCTAGGTTAGTGATAAAACCATAGCAGAGATTGCTTCGGCGTTATAAGTTGGCAGAATTTACTGATGTACGAGACACCACTGCGGTATTGCTAAATGCATCAGTGGAGCAATACTACAGCAAACTATTCTCATCAACAAAGCCATTTTTTCGTGTCTAAAAAAGAGCTAAAATAGTTAATAGTGATATTTAACTAAAATAGTGGTATGTATTTCTTTTTCACTTCTTTCTTTCCTCTAAAGGTTAACTAAAGTAGCTACCAAATGCAATTGAATCAGTTTACGATGGTTCTTTGCTCTGAGGCAGATTGCAGAGGAAGAGCTGTGCTGGCAGGACGATGGTGCTTATTCCGTGAGACGATGTTTTCGGCGTGTTACACAACACCAGCAGGTTTGCAAAGCTCCAGTTGCCTGTCAGTACCAACAGTTAGTGTTGTGCACGCTTGGCCATTTGCATGTAGGGTCTGCTGAATTCGTCATCGTCTTTGCAGCAGGGTGGTGATCAGGGGCAGCTACAAGTCATTAGCGAGCCGCGGAAAAACAAATGGAAAACTTACAAGCATGCTGAGACGCTGACTGTGTGCTCAGCAATGGGATGGGCTAAAGCACATATTGCACATTCCAGGATGGGGAAGATGAATGGGAGATGAATACAGCTATGCATCTCTAATTCCGCTGCTGCTGAGGCTGTGGAGTTTGTGCTTTGTTTAACATTTCTGTTCACAATTTTTTTTTTTTAATGTGAGAGTACGCTGTGAACAAGCACACACAAACACACAGATATATACATTACCTATGCTCTGACTTTGCCGTGTCATCTTCTCTACAACTTACTCCTCTTCAGCAAATTTGTGTTAATTGTCAGTTGCCTAGGAAGATTGCTTGGTTACGTTCTGAATTGGATTTTTTTATTAGACTAGTTTGATTGCAAAGGACGTTGCCATGTGAACACCTGGGAAAGACAGGGAACAGGACATTGTAACTGGAGCGTTTTGTAAAATACTGGATTATTAAAAGCACTTAAAGTATTATAAATGAATATCAGTAACCCATGCCCAAGTAGTCCTTAATCATAATTTGATTGCAGAAAGACATATAACACAGTTAATTGGACATGAGGTGGCTTGGTATTGTGTGAAATACATCCTGCTGTGTTCTGTACGTACTACATCTCATCCCTCACCACAGGAGACCCACCTGGCCTCATTCTCTTCCCGCCTGTCTTTCTGATGTAAGAATGTGAGCACACAAGCTACCTCTCACTTATCTTGCTGTCCTTTTGGCTGCAGTGATACCAGGTACTCCTCCCACCTGCGCCAGGCTGTAAAATTAGCATCTTGCGTCTCATTTCCCGCTGAATGTGCTTACGCTCAGCTTCAGAGGTGTTGCGGAGGGCTGGCTTGCGTGGACAGGAGTAGAGGAGCTCACAGGATCCACAGAGGCCTGCGTTAACACGGTTAAATCGGCATCGAGATTGAGACAGCAGAGGAATTCTTCCAAAAGATGCCAGTCTCTAATTCCTGGAGAAGCACAAGAAACACTAGAGTGTATTTCAGTTATGGCTAGATAATTTCACGTAGTAATGACTCAGTACTCCCTCCATATAAATTATCTGTCTGTTAAAGCTATTGAGCCAGATCCACTTTGGGCATACCTGAATCCAGTTTGAAAAATGTCCGAGGGGTTAAGCTTGGTCTGAGCTTCACCTATTGCCTGTAAAACAGTCTCTTGTGATTGAGAAGAGGTTTTCTGGGCAACAGACGTGCTGCCATTGCGGGTGGGTGCAGCACAACTGCAACATTTGCCAGCTCTCTTGTCCCACTGACTGAGATCACAGAATCACAGAATCATAGAAAGTTTTGGGTCGGAAGGGACCCCTAGAGGTCATCTAGTCCAACCCCCCTGCAGCGAGCAGGGACACCGCTAACTAGATCAGGGTGCTCAGAGCCCTGTCCAACCTGGTTTGTATTGTCTCTGAAAACCCAGTGCCAAAGAGCTCCCAAAGGAGTTTCAGAGGAGCATTAACCCCTCACATGGAGGCTTTTGTAACTATTACGCTTGTGGAACGCTGTAAACCGTGAAGCAGTGGTACACAGTTACTGCCAAATGTGTCGGTGTGAGAACCAGACAAGTATAGCCCTGCCACAAGGTGAGCATGACTTCCAGCTCAGCAAGGGGCAGGCATTTCTAGATGGCAGTCAAAGCTTTGCCTGACTGCCTGCCTCGCTATATTAATTTAACGTGGAGCTTGGAGAAGGGATTTGAAGATGCAGCATCTGTTTGAAAGTGTGTCCACAGCTAGATAGTTAAGAATGATTACAGAAAAAAATCAGTAACACCGTCAGGAATGCTGAACGACATGGGGAGAAATAGAGAAAGAGAGGTCACTGAAGGCATTAACTGAACCTCCAAAAGTCATTCAGGTCATGTTTGGATTTGGTGGCTTGTCCTTCTCCTGTCTGCATGTGTTTGCTCTTCATCTCTCAGATCCAACATTCTTCACCCTCAGGAGAGACTGCTGCCGCTTCTGTTCACAGAATCACAGAATCACAGAATAGTAGGGCTTGGAAGGGACCTCTGTGGGTCATCTAGTCCAACCCCCCTGCCGAAGCAGGGTCACCTACAGCAGGCTGCACAGGACCTTGTCCAGGCGGGTCTTGAATATCTCCAGAGAAGGAGACTCCACAGCCTCCCTGGGCAGCCTGGGCCAGGGCTCCGTCACCCTCAGAGGGAAGAAGTTCTTCCTCATGTTCAGACGGAAAAATGTTCACGCTGACCCTGCAAGCACTGGGCCGCTTTGCAGATCTGGAGCGAGCTGCTGCGTCAGTGCAGTGTCTGCCCAGAGACACTCCGTCGGGTCCTGGCAGGGCTGCGTGAGTGTCACTGTGTCGGTGGCCCTGAGCTCTTTTGTGTCTCAGCACTGCTCTAGCATGGCTACGCTGTTTGTAATGTGGGGTGCTAGCTCATCGCCCCGCGCCGTGGCTCACGCGTCCCTCGAGAGCACTGTGCAAGGCTGCCCGAGAGACGGCGTAGCTCTCACATCCACACCTTCTGCAGCGGCTTTAGAGTGAAGTACAAAGAAGTAGCACAGACTCTTTTCTTCCCTTTGACTGAGCTGAAATTACGTGTCAGGTCATTCCCGTTCCTGCTTCCCAGATTCCTCTTCCCTGCAGCACTGATAAATTTTCTCTCTCTTCTGTGTAGATACAGTTCTTCGTGCACTCCTTCTTGCCCAGAATTTGCCTTGCAAAGTTGGAGAAGTTAGTGCCCAGACCCATGTTAGCAGCAAGGTAGATTTTTTTTGCCCTACTCTGCTGACCTTAAGTGAGACACTAGTGCTTTTTTAAATCTTGCTAGGTATGCCAGAAGCCCTAAGACCAACCCTTTCCAAACATTAATGTGGATCAAGTTTTCTCCATTCTCTTTTCCAAACCAGAGGCAGCTGCTATCCTCATTGCCACCATGAAGAACATCTGCCATCTGTTATCAAGAGTCTGAAACCTTAGCTAGCAGCTACCCTGCTAGATGTTTTTAATACCTGTAAAACAACACTGATGCACCAGCTGCAGTACAGCTTAAGGACAAACACAAAAACACTTCCAAGAACCAAAGCATCTCTGCATGTGTGGGCACCCAAAGAAAGATTTCATCTTCACAGGACAGGATGTTTTAAATTAGGTGCTTAAATCTCCTTCCCTGCAAGCAAATTCTTGTGTAAATCCTATAAGGCTCTTCCTAGAGAAAAATTTGGAAGGCTAGATTTCCTTTGCGTACATTTTCTGTTTGCTGGTCTGTGTATTCCTTTGCAGATTCATCTGGGCTAGGAGACAGTAATCCACCCCTCCCAGGACATCACATTAAAGTAGCAACAGGAAGCCTTTGTCTTTATAGTCCTCTGGAAGCAATGCTGAAATGAATGGTGTGGTCACCACATAAGGCAAAATGCAGAGGAGATGGCAGGCGTTACTTTGCTATCCCGTGAGAGAGGTTTGGGATGAGGTTCTGGTTGTTCCCTGGGTGAACGTGGGAAAATGAGGAAAGGATGAGAGTCCTGAGGGGGTAATGCAGGAGGAGACGCTCGCTTTCCTTCCTAATATTGCTGAAGAGAATGAAGATGGGACAAAAAGACACATTTTGCTGTCTTGCAAGCTGAGACGACAACTGTCTCAGATGAACCCTCAGAGCCTGCAAGGACACCAGCTGAACCATACAGCAGGTTTTCTGGAGGCGCGTTGTGGTGCAACTTCAGCCATCCTTTTTCCAGCACGCAGAGCAGCAGCTTGGTGCTTGTAATAGTGAAGGCGATGGTGATGGTCAGAAGTTGAAAGGTATTGGTTTCCTGCTGGAAAATGGGCCCCCTTAGTTCGAAAAGCCTCAGTCTGAAATGCTTTACCCCTACCCAAAGAGCACTCCCCACCTGATGCTGATATCAAGTCAATATTTACACACCGGACTGGGCTTGGAACACTTCATTATATTTCTCAGCACTCCTGCATCCTTGGTGTTTGCTTTCAGGCTTGTCACTTTGTCTGTCTGAGGCACACACTAGGAGCCCCCTAAAACAGCACAGCCATGTGATGTGACCCCCAGGAACTTGTGCTCTGGGTACTCGTCTCCGCAGGAGGGATAAAAAGAGTTGCTTCCCCTTGTCGCTGGTTTCTGGGGGAAGTTCTGCAGTGAAGGCTCCCATTTCTGGTGTGTGAGCTCTCACCCTGACAGTGCTATGCTTCTCACTTGATTCAAAGTGCATTTTACTTGCATGTCTGTCACGTCTTACACCCACAACTCCCGTTCTTTTGGCTTTCCACCTCTGCTTTTGTGTATGCAGTGTGGTTTCTGAGAGGGTGTAATGCATCTGCTATCAGAAAACAGAACCTCTAATAACCTCTGGGGTTTTACAATTCTCTCTTTCATTTCCCTTTAAATTAACGCAACCCTGTCTTGCTGCGACATATGAGGTGCTTTTCCTAAAAAGACATAAATGCGATTAGATTACGAGGTACTTCAAAGACGCCCCGCCTTCAGCTGTTTGTGAGCTGCTTAGAATTAGTGGAAGTGTGTGGCAATGGGCAAAAGTCTTATCCCAAACAGGACTCTTCTCTTTTTGGCTGAAATTCCAGGATGCGCCCAAAACTCCACAGCTTTTGTGTGCAATGCAGTCATGTCAGCAGCAAATCTGGGGACTTTTAAAATTTGTCCTGTGTCAACATGGCAGCTCTGCTCCCTGGGGTTTATGCATAAAGCACCATGATGCCCTAGCCCGCAGTGTTGGAAATATAATAAACGCCCTAAGTGCAGTAAGACTCTGATTCTGCTGCTTCAGGAAGACAATATGTGGGGGTTTTTTTCCCCCAGGATTTCAGCATCAGCAGAATCCACCCCAAAGACGTGGGAGCACCTCGCCTTGCCACTGCTATTTCTTCTCCCAAGATCAAAGTTACCATCACTCCCCCCTTGCCCTGGGGAGGTCGCAGCAGACTGATGAAATACTTCGCTGGGAACAGCTCAGGAGGAGAAAGCTGCAAACCAACCAACCAGCCAAAAGCCTGAAGGAAGCAGAGCCTGTAAGGAGCCATGCGAGAACAGAGTGGTTGGTCAGTCCGTTGGCTTCAGATCCAGACATCTCATTTGCTGGATTATTTACTCCGAGCTCAGACACCGTGCTCGGCTTTGCCCGTCGGCCCTCCCAGAGCCACCCCACAGATGTGGTTTTTCATGGTGTCTCCACGCGATGGAGAAGTGTGCACCTTGGCAATGTTTCCTGCGTGAAATGAAAGGACAGGACCGAGTTTTTGCTGTGTGGTGGGAAGATGGGAAGATGCCGGTTCATGCTTTATCTCCTTTTGCGTGGTCCAGAGTGACATCTAATGGCACAGCACCAGACTGCACCAGTCTGCCGAGAGCCAAGTGGACGAAAAGCTGTAGCTGCCGACCATTTATCAAGTGACAAGGGCAAGGTGAGTTCTGTCAGGTGTGCAAAAACAAACAGGCTCTATTGAACTAAACTGTAACGCTGTTCATAGCCACACATTGATATACATTACCTGGATAAAGCTGGGAAGTGAAGTAGTTTGAAATTAGGAAGAGGCGGAGTTCAGTTGCCTGAAAAAATGTAAAATATTTCACATAATATATTAGGTTAATGAAATATCAATGAGTTTAAACAATGTGAAAGGAGGAAGTCAGAGCAATATTCCAGAAAGGAGTCAATCCCAAATATTCTATTTTGAGTTTGATGTGATGTATATCTTTTATATATAACTGCTTTTACAAAAAATGATAAGATCCCACAAAATAGTTTGTTTTGCCAGAAATAGCACATTCTAATAAAATACACCCCATCAAATGTTTTCACCCAGTGCTGTGTTGTGGCATCACTGTTTTCAGCTGTGCAGACTGTAGATCAGAGATCTGTCCAAACTTACCAACATGGAAATACATTTATATATGCTGTATGAATTCCCTTTTAGGCACTGGTGAAGGCAATTTTTCACCATTAATTAGTGTTGCAAGAAAAATA